TCGTTCATAACAACACTAGGTTAACATTTTGTTTGTGCTTCAACGGAGATGTATTATTGGTCCCCGATTGCATGATTTTTTTTTTTAACGCGAACTAGATTTTCGGTCCCTTTGAATTCATATTAACGAGATTTTACTGTAGTAGTTGGAGCAGGACTTAAATAACTGTCACTAAGTTGAGTGACATATTAGTCATTGGGGGAAGGAAGGGGGGGGGGGGGAATTAAATAATAACATGTGTATATATAAGTGTTTGTGAATATATATATATATATATATATATATATATATATATATATATATATATATATATATAGTTTTGATAGCTGAAGAGGAAACACAACTGAAAGAAAATAAGGGTCTTAGTGTAAACAGCAGGAAAAAAAACCCCTAGAAGTAATGGTAATTACACAGAAAACTGAACACCCCCCCCCCCCCCACACCCCCCAAATGCAATATGAAAGTAAATGGGGCAAACCTCAAACAAGTTGATATGTTTAAGTACAGTACTTAGGTACCCTGATAACATCAAACGGAAGATGGATGCAGGAAGTTAAATGTCGAATAGCTCAAGCAAAGGTTGCAATTTACAAAGTGAAGAATACTTTATGCTATCTTTCTTTGTTAATTGAGATAAGAAAGATAATTTTCAAAAGCTAAATAAACACTGGGAAAAACAAGAATAGACCCACTGCCTACCCAAAAGCCTGTCGTAAGAGTCGACTAATTGGTAGCTTCCTTCGAAGTCAGAGTGCATCTGCCTGAGAGGCAAGGAACCAACAATCTGCATACAGATCTGTCAAACGGATGCACTCGCAACACTTAGGTTCTGGAACAGGACTGCAGTCCGGAAGTGGACGAACAACCAGAACTTTCCACCGAAGTTTACAGCCGGTGAACGCGAAGAAGAAGAAGACTAAGTTGTATGCGGAAGTGAATCATGAATAGTTGGTAAATTAGTGAAAACTTATATGAAAGCTGCGGAGATGTCGTTTTGTAGAGGAATGTTGAGAATACCCTGGACAGATAAAAAGAGTTGAAAATGTCTTGAAAGAAACTGACTCATGAAAAGAACTGACTGCCAACATCAGTGACAATCTACATTTTGTGGCCATGTGATGAGAAGGAGAAAACTGGCGTACATCGTAACAGTAGGGAAATTGGAGAGGAGGAGACGCAGAGCGAGACCTAGAATTCAGTTGCTAGACAGTTTGACATTATAACATGGAGGATCATCTGTGTCAGAGTTGACTGAAAGTACACGAGACAGAAGGTTGTGGACAGCCATAACTACCAACGCCACACGGCATGGACTTTGAGAATATATATATATATTCTTATAAATAAATAATAATAATAATCTCAGTCGGAAAAAAAAGTCGAATGTAATCAGGACCTGGACCGGAAGTGGCAAGATCACGTGACAGATAGAAGAGTTTCGATTCAAAACATAACACAGACATGCGTCCAGTGCCAACATCGTCAGCTTGTTGTTGGTAATCAGAGCCTTCATTTTCTTGTTGGTGATCAGCGTGGTAAGTGATAGTTATGATGTATCTGGATAATCAGACTTTTAACTTACTGATTACTTAGTTTAGCATGTCTTCTTTGTTGTAAACTTGTACACCTGTTTTCACATTATAATAAGTAATAAATACTAACTAATTACTACGACTCCAAAGAAGACGACTGGGCTGGCGTAAAAAATCAATAATAATAATATTAATAAAAATCCTAATTTTCCGGTGTCGTTAGTTAGCTCTCAACTTGGAAACTACTAAACCGATTGCTTTCAAATTTACACACAACTTTGCCTCTGACTCAAACCGTTATTTTTTGTCATAAAATCGCACAAACCACGAACGACGTAGCTCCAGCAACGGTCAAATCATTATTTGTTCCGTTGGCCGCCCGGATTTATTTTTAAGGAATTCGCCACCTTTGACTGTGTTATATACTTTCATTTCTACCAAATGCTTAAGTATTCAGTAGTGTAGCTGTAAGTGTTTCGCTTTTTTTCACTCGAGTGAAACTGATTCCCCGCTGGGTGATATAATTTTTTTTTGGGCCCCTCACTGGGTGGCTGCCACGTTTTGTTGTGGTTTATAGCTAGGCTGCAGTATCTACCCCTTTTTCTGTTTGATTTTGGGGTTTACAGCTAGCCTGCGATCGCGGCGAAGTGATGCTCAATGTTCATGTCACGGGTAATATTCGTTCGCCCTTAAGAGGGCGGTTGGCACGTTGTGTTGGGGTTTACAGCTAGGCTGCGATATCTGACCTAAAGTCTTCGATAGTAGAGTTGTAAGTATTCGGCCTTCACGTGTATAACGTATGTTCGATTCCCCGCTGGGTAGTAATTTTTCTTCTTACCCCAAAGGAGCGATTGGCACGCTGTGTTGTGGTTTAAAGCTAAGTTGCGACATCTGCGCCTTACGCCCTAAGACATCCGATTTAAATACAGTACACATTAGCCTCCCCCCCCCTCCCCAAAGCTTCACTCGATCAAAAACTATTGTTAATGACAGACACTGTTAACTAAGAAGGCTTACGGTCCAGTTTGGTTTGGGTCGACACGGATGCCAAGGTTAATAATTACACATCGTCACTTCGGAAAGGGAAAGACGACAATTGCTGGTTTTTATTTCCGCTATTTGTGAGTATAGTGTAAATTTTTAATATTACGGAATTTTACTGTGGGTTCCATCATTAGTTAGGTGATGGAGTTTTATGTCGGGGACACACTTAAACTAAACAGTCCATGGGGACAGCATGCTGCGCCAACTTCTCTGGCTACAAAAACCTGTACAGACAGTAGTTACCGTTTAGTGTTGTTGTGGTGATGGTAGTGGTAGCAGTAGTACTGGTACTGGATGGGTGATGTGGTAGCTGTTACACTAGCCACATTTACTTCTCATTACACAATTATGCTATCCATCTGTCTCTGGGTGGACACAGATGCAAAGCTCAGTTCAGTTACAATATTTCGTCAGATGATGACTTTTCCATCCTTCGGCGAGGATGATATGATTAGTGGGGGAGGGGGGGTTGATGGCAGACACTGTTAACTGAGAGAGCTTAAAACATTATTTTAAAGTTATCATTTCTTAACTTTCTATTTTAATAATTTCGCCAAGTGATGATTTTTTATTCCTTCGGAGAGGGAGATATGGGGGAAGGGGGGTTATAGCAGACACTGTTAGTTGACAACTACTTTCTTTCTTTTCCATTTTACCATTCGGGGCCACAGCAACGCGTGGCAGGGCACAGCTAGTAATAATAATAGGTCTGTAATAATGCCCTTACTAATGGCAATGCTGACCACATTACCCACCTAGTGCCGATGGTCTGTAACAAATATGGAGGCTCTTACCATATACCCGATACGCCTAAAGGCCTAAATGTATCTGATCTTTAAGTACTTTAAGTACGACTTGGATTTAGTTAATAATATCCAGATAACATGTTATTAATAGTAGTAGGTTAGAGCGGACTAAATTCCAGTGTGTAAATTATAATTATTCCTAATTCTCCTTCACATTCACTGGCTGTAAACTGCGACAAAAAGTTATGGTTCTGGTTGTTTGTATGCCTCTGGACTTGAGTAGTCCTGTTCCAGAACTTGTTGCGTGCACAATCGTTTAATTTTAACAATCTTACTTAATTGTATGCAGATTGTTGGTTCCTTGCCTCTGATTTCTTCTTGCTATCGAGGACAAAAATATACCCTAAAGGGGCCACAGTCACATGTAAAAACTAAATTGCGGACCTCTTTCCGGTGACTACAAATTACACCGCGGAAAAGCTTCTGCCTAGTTAAAGTCACTGCCGAGAGTATCTCCCATGGCGCATATGCATTCGGTTTGGTATGCTGAGATTAGATCATCAGATTGGTCACTTGCCTCTATGAACTCACATGTCAGCAGGTCCTTCACTGTTTTCCACAGCTTGCTCTGCACACTGCTTTTGCGGCCAGGTGTTGTTTCATTTCGAAGTTGTAGGTAAAATAGGCAGGTCAGCAGAATGTGCTCAGGTATTTGTTGTTCTGTTTGACAGACACACTATGTGGACTGTAGAATCCTTTATTTTATGCATGTGGTAGTTGAGCCTGCAAATTCGTAGACAGAAAATTGTTGTATGTTGATGTTGATGTCTGCTGATGTTTATTTTTACAACGGGAAGATGCAGCGGGCGTCTTGCATGGGGTTCCGTAAAACCAGAACAGTGAAGGGCTGGCACTCTAGTATCTCCTTATACACATGACATCATCCCTGTGTGGGTTATGCGGCCCTGTTATATGGAGACCCACTGCCTACCCAAACGCATGTCATAAGAGTCGACTAATTTGGAGCTTCTTTCAAAGTCAGAGTGCATCTTCCTGAGAGGCAAGGAACCAGCAGCCTGCAGACAAATGAGTAAAACGGATGCACACGCAACACTCAGGATCTGGAACAGAACTGCAGTCCAGAAGTGGATGAACTACCAGAACATTCCGCCAGACTTTACAGTTGGTGAACGCAAAGAAGACATCACATTGGATTTGAGTTTCCCTCATGCCTGTGACTGAAATCACAGTGCCACATAGGCAACTAATTAGGGGTGTTTCCTTCCTTTGAAGTCAAAGTGCATCTACCTGAGAGATGAGGAAAAAATAGTCTGCATACAAATACAAGACAAATAAACATGATCAGTAAAATGAAAATGCCCATAAAAGTATAGAAGACTACAGAATGTAGTAGTGTACAAACAAACAGAAAACTCCATTGAGGATTTCAGTCTTTGAATACTGAAAAGTGCTAAAAGATATGTCTGAATTAAAAGGGTTCTTCAGTAGCACATCCTTTTTTATGTCCATTGGGATCCTGTATTCTTCTGTCCCACTAGGTCTTGTGTGTTTCTCAGTGTATATTTGTTGCTTGCTGTTATTCTAACTCATTTTTAAAAATTTTCACAGAAGTTCTGGAAGCATCACTTTTATGGCAGTTGCTGCAGAAAGCAAGAACCTGTCATCAGATATCTATAACTGCTAACAACCTGATAATAAACTACCTCAAACACAATTGGTCTCTGATGGATCATCCAGCAAACATTGATATAGAAACTGCATGTGTAAAAGCAGATTTTAAATCTCTCTACAATGTTGCTGAAGATGTTGAAATTCTATTTCACATAATTGAAATGACTGAGAATGAGATTGTTCTGTATGTGACTATTTGGCTTATCAAAGGTGGTCGAAATGTTGAGGGTGTTGTGGAATCAAGTGGAGATTTTGGGACCCTGAGGAGGATCTTTGAAATAATTGAAGCCACCAGGGGCCTAACGTTTTCAGACATTAAATTAAGTGAGGATGTTAACTCTTTCAGGAACATTGATAAAATCATTTACAACTCGAGTGAAACAAAATTTAACCAATATGACAGAAGATTCTCACAATATGAGCTGGATACTGCATTGGTATCCTCTTGTCGTCGTGGGTATACATTTCTTGTAAGGATACTTCTTGAACTGGGAGCAAACACAGAGACTATCGATAAAAATGGGAACTCACCATTGTTGATCTGTGTAGAAAATGGTTTCACCAGCACAGCCGAGCTTTTGATCAGTCAAAAAGTGAATATAAATACAGAAAATGATTTTGGTGACACTGCATTGATACTTGCTGCGCGCTCAACATGTTCAGTAGAGATGGCGAAGCTCCTACTTGCACAAAAGAGAATCAATGTGAATCACCAGAACAGAGAAGGAAACACTGCATTAATGAAAGCAATAGAAGCTAGGAATTTTGATGTCATCAAATGGATACTTGATTCACAAGAGAACCCAACAGATGTCCTTGAAGGAATAAAAAATTGCAGAAGTGAAACAGCACAAGACATTGCAGATAAAATGGGCATAGGTAATACTGTGAAGCTCTTAATAAAACAAAGCATTGAAGTGTACAACCCAATGTTTGCAGCGGTTCTGATGTGCGACACAGATTCTTTTGACATCTTTGTGGACCTCCAGGCCTGCAAGCCATCAGACAAGAAGAATTTTATCAAAGATTCTTTCAGAGCATTGTTTATGAAACATAAAAAGAGCGGAAAAAACTTCAACGAGAACGAGGAGAAGATCATCCAGAGACTGTTACAACATGGAGCAGCTGTAAATGATTGTTTTTACAGCTCCAACCCATTTGTGGTTGCCACGCAGGTTGGCAGTATTAATGTGCTCAAAATGTTGCTAAATGATAAGGCAAATTTACATTGGTTGTGGAACTTAAGGCAGACAAATCTCTTAGCAGTCTCTGCAGAGCATGGCCATGCTGACATTTTAGAACTTCTGTTAAAACACGACCACGATATGTCTACAAAAAGTTTTACAATGCCTGCCCTGATCACTGCTATGAAAAATGGGCATCTCCGCTGTGTAAAGCTTTTAAAACAACACGGTGCCAGATTGGATTTCAAATTTGCTTTTGCATCTTTTGTGAAGGACAATGACTCTGTGCTCCTCAAATATCTTGTTGAAAATTTTAAAGCTAGAATACGTCGTGAAGTTTCTGCAGAAGTTATGGATAACTTTTTGGTTACTGCTGCTCGTACTGGAAATATTGATATCATTGGTTTACTTATTGATGCTGGTGCTAACATCAACTGTGTCAACGGTGCAAAAAAGACGCCATTAATGGAGGCAACATATGCAGAGGTTATCAACTTTCTGGTGCAGAGAGGTGCTGTTATCAATAAAAAGATCACAGAACATGACCAGGTTTATTCGCCTTTGATATATGTTCTATCTAAGGATTATTACCCATGTGAGACCACAGACAAGGTGAAAATAGTTGAAGCACTTTTAAAAAATGGTGCATCTTTTAACGAAGACTGTGGTGGCAATTCACCATTAATGATTGCTATTTTAAATAAAGCAGACAAGAACATTGTTCAGTTGTTATTAGGTTATGGTGCAGATGTCACTGTCAGGGATGGCAAAGGCAACACTGTCCTGCTGAATGCTGCTGAAAACAGTTCCACAGAAATCATTGAATGCTTGCTTCAACAAAGTAAGGCCAGAAATTTAATCAATGTACAGAATCACAAGGGCTCAACAGCTCTCATGGTTTCTGTCAGCAATTCTGACCACTCAGCAATCAGAGTCCTCATCCACCATGGAGCTGATGTGAATATGATTGATGAAGATGGCAATACTTCATTAATGATTGCGGTGTCTATGCATATAAGAAAACCAGAGGTACTGACAACTTTGATTCAAGCTGGCAGTGACGTCAACAGTCAGAATAAAAATGGACACTCAGCTTTGATGCTGGCTGCCTATGCTTCCTGGGAAGAGGCACTAATTATACTTGTGGATTCTGGAGCAGACGTTAATGCACTTTGTGGAAACAATGTAACTGCTCTTTCACTAGCTGTGATCAGCATGACGCCCCATATACCTTGTGTTTTCTCTTGTGTTGAGTATTTACTTGATCATGGTGCAAAGGCATCGTATGTAAAACCAGACTTTCTACTGATGTTGATCTTAAGAAGACGTTTAGAATTGATTCCAAAAGTGATACAGTGTGGGTTAGGACCTGTAGAAGTCTGTTCACTTAATATAGGTCTAGCTTCTTTCACACCTGTTTCAGCTTTATGTCTGGCATTGATGACTGGAAATGTCAAACTGGGTTCTTATTTTGTAGAGAATCTGTTCGTGACTCAGTCCGACATGTTCACGTTGATTCACCACAAGGATGTGAGACATCATCTTCACAAACATAGGCTCTATGAGTGTTTGGGTTTTCTTGACAAACTGGCTGCACAGCCATTATCCCTTTTCTCTTTGGCATTCATAGCTGTGCAGTCAGCTGTCGGTTCAGCACCTGGGCGTGAGGAGAGAGTCAGTACATTGCCTCTACCTGGTAAATTCAAAGACAGGCTCATGTATAAAACAGAGATTCAGCCTTTAGATTTGTCATCCATTTGTAATGTGTTTGCTGCATATCGTAACATCGTTAGGAAGAGAGTAATACCTGGCCCCATCATTCTAAACAATTATAATCCTAGTGCAGTCTATTATGAATCTTCCAGTGATAGTGAAGAATCCTCTAATGAAGCTTCCAGTGACCCTTCTAATCATGATTGTTAGTCTTGTAGAAAGATTTTACCAAACTGCAGCTATGCTTTGACCTCTTCTTATAGTCCAGGAAAAGAAAGCACAGGGAAAATGTTGTGACCACTGGAGAAATCTTTGGAAAGAGAGACAGTGGAAGACAGCACAGGAAGTTTTATATTGCGCTATGAGGAGGCATGGGACCATAGTATGTAAACATTTTAATTTTTTTCCTAATGTTTTCTGGAGACTGTGTTGTGCAGTTGTGTTTTAGAGCACACGACTCTGTAGCTTTAGTGTTAGTATAATTTTTGACTGCTAAAATTCACATGTGTGTGGTCCATCAAGATGATGATGACCACTCTTTGTCAAGTATGAGTAGGAAGATGACTGAAGAGGCAGATGCATTCTTAGACAGTGAGGACAGGGAATGACCGCTGTGGCAGGGAGAGAATCCACTTCAGTTGCCTTTCTGTCCATCCTTTTCTCAATCAATCCTGCTGTTCTGTTTGCTTCACATGTAGAGCTGCTGCACACCATGCATTTCGGTCTTGATTTCGCTTCTAATTTGTGTCATTTATCCCAAATACTTTGAGTGAAGACTTCAAGGTGTTCTTAAAGTGTTTCTTTTGCCCGCCCAGTGAACGTTTCCCATTTTGCAGCTCTCCATAGAAGAATTTTTTTGGGAGCCTATGATCTGGCGTGCGTGCCAAAACTAATTTTTTTGATACTGCATCTGTAGACTGGATGCTGGGCATGGCTGCTTTCTAAAGGACTACAGTATCAGGTACTTTGTCTTGCCATCTGATCTTAGGCAGACTGTGAAAGTGGTTAAACTGGTATACAGCAGTGTAGTTAATACAACTGCTCTGTATACTTTAAGCTATGTCTGCAGGGTTATGCCACTTCTGTTCCAAACATTGCAGTGATATTTGGCATTAAGTAACTGCAAACACATGTCGTGGTTGCAGACATGTCAAGTTCTATGACTAGATGTGTGGTAAACACAAAAATGTTTCGCAGTGTGGAGGTTGTAAATCTTCATGAATCAGCAGATATTTTTGTTTTTATTTAAGTAGCTACGAAAGAAATAATTTTTGGATATCATATCAAATTAACAGGTGCTCTCAGCCATTTCACTGGGCTGTGCTGGTCCATCTTGGTGGTAGGTTTTCTTCTTAGCTGTATACTGTGGCAGAGATGTGAGTTATCAGGTGAATTCTTTTCACGTTACTCTGAACATGTCCATAGGTGTTGAGAAGCCTCCTTGGCATATTCGTCAGCATCACATGGTTAATAGTGCAGGTACTAGGCTGTTTGATAAGGCTTATCTGGCATATTTGTGTGCAGGCTATAGGTTCCTTAGTTCTGATTAGACACCATTTTATGACATGCTTGTTAGGAGGGTAGTAGTTTTATTCTTTTCCCCTCAAAACAGGGCCCTGGAACCCACGCATCAGCCAAATCAGCAGTCAGGTAGGGCTGTGACCTAGTCTACACTAGTTTGCCTTTATGGTCTCCCAATCAATGGCGCAGTTATTTTTGCATTTAAATACCTGTTGTATTTTGTATACCTTATTTTTTATAATATTTTTTAGATCATTGGTGTGAATCATTCTGTTATTATCTATTACAAATATGTTTGTAAGTAATGAAATTGTTTTCAACCAGTTATTTTACACATCTTAATGATTTTCTATTAAAATTGAGTGCCGAATAAGCAGTGCATTTTTTTTTTTCATTTCTGAATGTAAAAAGTCCCTAGTCAGAGTACAGATATGTCCTAGATTTGGTTGTGACTTATATTTTTGAATTAGTCTTCTCAACCAAAGCACACAACTTTCCAAATTGTTTGATTTTGATGACATGCCTTTTAGACAAACATAATCCTTGACACTGTAATTCACTTTACTAGCAATCTAGAGGTGGGGGGCATAATAGCTACAGGGTTTCAGGGCGGGCAGTATGGGTGCCATTTTAAGTGTTACATTGTATTTTAAGGTGAAAGACCCGCTGGTTATACAGTATTACAAAATTAATGGGATTGCTGGGCTTGGTAATGTGGGGATAGAAAATATATATGTTATATAATATAAATCATGTGAAAAATAGAGCGATATGACACCAGACTAAGTTATATAGCTGAAAGAGAGTTGGATTGATTAACATTGTTAAGGGTGTGTAGAAAGTATATGTTATATAGTGATAAAATAGGATAGAACACTAACCTTATAAAATTTATTCAGTAGAAAGAGAGGGGTACTGATGTCTTTATGGTGGGGATAGAAAGTATATTGTTTAAAATAAAAACACAGACGCATAGTTATTTGATGGCTTACTCTGGTACATAAAAAGCAAACTTGTTTGGGTACCAAAGATTGGTATGCATAGGTCCCATCTAATATAAGTTGGAAATGCTTGTGCGCAACTCACAGCCTCTGTCAATCAAGCCAACCTTACCTATATGTAGGGCTACCTTTTGTAATAGAAATAGTCTCTGTCGCTAATAAAATAGATCCCTAATGCCTAAAGAGGTAAAATACCAGGCTTTGGGTAGGGTAATTCAGACATAAGCCCTCAGCAGAGTGTGACCACTGGTCCCCAGTTGGGTGTGGCTGGTGCTGGGCCCACTGGCGCATCAACATAACTCTTACCTGTGTCATACTTGAAGCAGCAAAAAATGAGTCTCTTCAGCTCGAAGAAGAAAATACAAACCCTTCTGGGCCCAAGAACTGCAACAGAAGCATGAAAGGAGCACAGAAGCAAGAGTCCAAATGAATGAAATCCCTCTAACCTCAATGTAAGCTTTCACCATCTATTAAGATTATTCGGCACACAATCACACTCAAAACAGTGACATCCTTTCTACGAACTCAACTTGGGAAATGATCCAGGCATTCAACATAGACCTACAGCCTAACTATATGCTCACAACAACAATCTTAGGCATAGTCAGAAAGGCTCAAAAATTTGACCAAGTACTGCATGCAAAGACCCTTGAACATGCCTACAACTCTAATGGACACACATATACACCAGTGGATCATTAGAGGAGCAGGTTCGGTCATCATGCTCCAAGACGGAACTATAGTAGAAACCTGTTGTGCCTCTGGAAAACTTACCACAAACTTCACAGCAGAACAGCAAGCAATTATCGATGAACCCAAAGTGCTTGAGGGAAGGAAATTTTAAAAAAGGCAACTCAGGGAGATCCAAGAGACAACATGGAGAGAGAACTGATCTGGCTAGGTAAACAGAAAACAATCAACTGGTTCTGAAATGGATCCCAGCTTACTGCGTCATACCAGGAAATGAATTAGCAGACAACCTCTCAATAGAAGGAACAAAGGCATACCCATTCATTGTCATTTTCAGAAATCGAAACACTTATCAATGGAAACTACAGGGAATCGTGGAGAGACCAAACCAACATCCACAAAACCTCAAACGGCAAATTTCAGCAATTTTCCTGTTTACAAACAGGATACTACAGGCTCATGTGCACAAAATTAAGACTATACAATTTCCACAGTATTCCTGTCAGTCAGGACCACAAATACCTGAGCACATTCTGCAGACCTGCCCACTATCTACAGCTTCGAGAAAAAAAAATCTTCCTCAAGATCAAAGTATACAGAACAAGCTATCTGGAACCATGAAGAACCTGCTACTGACATGCGAGTTCATAGAAGCAACCCCCTAATGGTCTTACCTGAGCAAATGAGACCAGAGGCAAAAAAGAAGCAGAATGCTGAATTATGAATTGATATCATGACATTCCCATAAGCGCTCCATCCCCATCTTCAGCAGCAAAGAGTTCCGATGGCACCAGTAACTGATTGTATATCCATCTCGCCGTTTCCTTGAGTGTTGAGGGTCAACCAGATCCCCTGGCAACTCCTCGCAGCGTCATTCTCCTCAGACCGTGATAATCTATTTGCGCTTCTGCACTGTTCATTTGCTCCCAGAGGGCCCTCACAACATCTAGCTTGTCATACATAAGTTAACCACCAAGTGATGCAGAACCTACCATTCGGTCTGCCTGCTCATGTCCCAACACACTGACATGACCTGGAGAGAATATCCAATGGATGCTTGCCACTCTGCACGGAGCATACCGGTCTCCACCTTTCTCAATATGCTCTGTGAGTCAGTTACAATCACGGCATGTGTGTACAGCTGATTCTCGAGCCAACAGAATGCAGCAGTGACTGCCTCCACCTCCATTCTCAAGCTAGATGTTGTGATATCATATGCCAGGCTTTGTTGCACTAAGCGACGTCCATTCGCTTTTGCTATGAACCCCCATACACTTCATCTGCCCCTCATCACAACGATCTATAAATAATCACATCACTTGGGTGGGAATTTACATGAATCCTTTGTTCTGATTCTGCCCTCGCGATTCACAGTGATAAGAACCCTACACAGTCTGAAACTCGCTTGGACACTGTGACCCACTCCTCACCTCGCACAAATATATCATGCCTGCACACAAGTCTGACTGTGTCTTCACTTGCGCCACCCAAGAGCTTTCTCTTTTCAGTCTGTAACCCTTAGCTCTACCCACGGCTTCATGCAGGAGGATCTTCTTGTCTGCAGCTACTCTGAGATAACTGCTTGCAGAACATTGAGTCTATCTGAAATAGTAGGGACAGAGTGTGACGTGACGGGTGGGATTTAATGGTTTACAATGTTGAGTAGGGATGTTCCTCTCAACACATTCCCTCCACCAGATTAACCGAACTAAAATCTGAGCTATGTTGCTCTCAGACAAAGTCCTGGATACCCAAGAAAACAGCCATATTGGCTCGTTAAGTACATTAACATAAGCTGAACTTGGTACCCACAAGAGAAGGAATTTTAAATGTCTATCATTATACTAAATGAATTATTAGACAGGGCAAGTGATTCCTCCGTCATCTACCTTCTCCCGGTGTTATTATGAATAATTAAAGAATTATTATCATATTATTTGAGCCCCCACCAAATGGTATTCTATCTTAACAGTTTAATTAAATATGTAA